TACTACGACTGCGAAGACGACGGCGACCATGAGTGCGAGTACGAAGAAGACGACGCGACTGCGGTGACGACGGCTACTACTACCGCTACTGCTACTGCTCAGACGACGGCAATTACTAAAGCTTCTACTTGTCAGGATGTCGTCGGCTACATCTCCGTTCGGCGACAGCTCTTTTTGTTCTGCAGGTGCTGCTGCTTTGAAGTCCGCTGCGTAACGCGAACGGTATTCGGGGAGAAGGTGATCCCCAATTCGCTGTCTAAGTTTCAAATCACATGTAAATACTCAGATAGCAAGCTGCAAACTGGAACTTCCTGCTTCTACGCTCCTTAACCCAGCCTGAAAATAACTATCTCCAAACTCTAAGCCCCCAGACCCCACATGCCAAAACACAAAACCCCTGTTTCCCAAATCCCAATAAACAGAACTCCGAAACTCCAAACCCTTTTGCATCCAGGCAACCCTGAAACCCGAAACTCAGAAGTCCGAAATATTCCCCTGAACCCTCAGAAGTCCGAACCCCTAAACTTTCCCCACCAACTTCCCTTTTTTTGGAACGAGGTCTCTCTGAAGTGATTTCATCGTTCTTTTCCCCACAATTTCCTAGACCCTGAACCCAATATCATGGGAGGCCAAAAGGGGTGTTTTAGATTCTTGGGGTAGGGATTCCTTCATATGAACCCTATTGTGGGAACCCTAATCCCGACTAAACCCCCATAGGCTACAACCCCTTTTGGCCTCCTACATTATAGAACCCCTTATAGTACCCTTATAGATCCCTTGTAGTACCCTTATAGTAATCCTTATAGGAACCCTTTAAAGAATAGCCCAAAGCCCTCCAAGCGGCTCAGCAGACGATCTTCCGAGAGAATCTGCTCCTTGAGCCGTGCATAGGCCAAGGCCTCCGTGGGGAGACTCTTAGAATAGGGTTCCTTTGAAGGGGTCTATAAGGGCTACTAGAAGGGATCTATAAGTATAGGGGCCTGAATAAGTATCAATACCATTTTTTGCAGTTTTGGGCCGTTCAACGACTGGCGAGTCGTATACACTATGATAGTGATTGTTATTGTTATTCTTACTGCCACTAGTATTGCTGCAGCTACTATTATCATCGCGTTCTGAGCATCGGATTATTCATTAGCTTTCTGACAAACATCCAAATCTGCAGGATGCTGCAGGGTTTGGGTGGTGGAGTCTCTTGTCAACAACTGTCTGTGTCCTAGAAGGGAATGGGGTTATTGGGACTACTATTGGGGATTATACAGGGGCTACTATAGGAATCCATTCCCCCATTCCCTACTAAGAACCAGACCGACAGACAATGGGCTTCAGAGGCTTGGAGCTTACGGGTCTGGTAAATTCTGGAAGTTTGGTGGTTTCGACGCTCACACGCGCACAAGGCAGGCAAGGCTCCACATAGTTTGGTGGTTTTTCCCTCCGGGTTCAGGGTTTAGGGTGGTAACGATTTGAGAGCTTCGGCTTTCGAGGCGTGAGGGTTACTCTATGCCTCTATGCACGATCTTCATACCAAGGTTTTTTGCATTGCCGGTTGTGGGTTTCAGGAACGCGACTTTAGGTGTGAACTCCTGCATTCAGGGGGGGCCGCTTTGTGAGAAAACACGAGCAGCAAAGCGAACATAATCGAAACCACCAGAATTGACATGCTGTTGAGCTAAAACTGGGCAAGGAGAAACTCAAATTTGCAGCCACCATGGAGCTACCAGTCACTTAACAGAACCTGGCCCCAACAATGCAAATACTTGTGAACAGGACAAAACTGGAAATCCTGAGCCCTAGGGCTAAAGATTGATTCTGCCACACCCAATGCTGCAAAAATAGCGTCCCCATGTTTTAGGGCTTTGGGGTGCGCTTCAGCGTTTGGGGTTTCAAGTCGGAGGCCGAGGCTCACGAATGACGGCACAGGGCTCGACCAGAAACCTCCTAACCCTAAACCTCCTTAATATAGGGGCCTTTTAGTAATTAGAGAAATTGGGGTTTTGGTGCCCATTATACCGTAAGTATAACAAGGACCCACACAATAGTATTGGCAATTGTTTGCGCCCCATATATGACATTGGCTTCAGAAGTTCTAGGATTTCCACTCTTGGGGGGAGAGTGGAATGAGGATCCTACGAGAGCAAGGGTCGTATCTTACGCCTTCAACAGCGGCTACACCGACCTACTTGAACTAAACAAAAACCCTACACCCTGACCTCTAAGACTCTGAACCCGCTCGCGCTCGCTGTCCCCGGCATCAGAGCCCTGCAACCAAAAACCTTGACCTCCGAAGAGCCCTCTACCGCAACAGGCATTCGAGGCCAGGGTACATTCTGCGTCCTGATGGGGAGGTTGCTAACAGATGCCTGGCAAAAGACATTTGAAAGCACGGTGTGGGGTTTAGGGTTTAGGGCTTCCCTAACTGACCTACTTTTGTAGGGCTCCCTAATTTGTGAGTTCCTTATACTAAGTCCTCAGAGCAAGCTGGTCTATTTGAGGTTAGGTAAGGCTTAAAGTTTCTCTAAAGTTTAGGGGGGGGGCGTTCATGTGAGCAGTGTGGAATTTCGGGTTCGCGCCCCAGACCCTGAACCCAAAAACACTGAACCATGAGCAGCCTCAAACCCTTGAGCCCCAAATCCTACGGTTGATGATATAAATCCTGCATTACCCATAATAAGGAATATACCATAATTCCCATAGTTTAGGGCCCTTAAGGTGATGCAGGATTTGTATCATCAACCGTAGCCCTTTCGATCGGGAGATCATCCTACAGGAGCCAAGAGAGGTTCGAGCCTCGCGAACCAAGGCTTCTAATCACGTTTGTAGGGGTTTTAGGGTTGGGTTTTACAACGGGCTTAGGGTTTTAGGGTTTAGGGTTTAAGGGTTAAGGGTAACCCTACAAACTATCATACCCCTAATGCTGGCTTGCCCTTGTAACTGTAGTAACCCAGGTCTAATCTGGAGAACAGGCTAAAAACTTGGAATTTGCTGAATCCTCCGTCTAAGGCCCTTAAATTAATTTTCAGGGACAGCCTTCAACAATGAGTCGGTTTAACTGAAGTTTGCTGAGCTCTTTTTCAGCTCTTCCTCCAAGGCCGAGAGGCTAAACCCCCTAAACCAACAGGTCTAAACGTCTCGAAACCAAACCCTAACCCCCCCAAGCTGTAAATCCTCAGTGCTGATACCCTACATCCTTAAACTAAACTTAATTTTACCCAAAACCTCAACCCAAACCGAAACATAATCCCTAAACCCTAAACAAAACCTACACCACTAAAGCGGCCTTCAACCTGATGCCCAGGGAGACTCAAAATCTCCGCAAACCTTTCTGCATCCAGGCCTACTGCGACTGCCGGGTACTCCCCCGTATACCCGAAAGCCCTTATAAACTCTAAAAGCCCTAAACCCAACACCTACACCCTAAACCCTGAGCCCTAAACCCTCAGCCCGAAACCATACAAGCCCTACCTTAACCCGGAGTAACCTACATTTTTCAGGACCTATATAAGGAAATCATAATAAGGAGCCCTAAAAAGGTAGGTTATTCAGGGTTAAGGTAAGCCCTAGAAGCCCTTGATCCTAACACCTGACTGCAGAGTCCCAATCAGAGCGGCTTGGGGTTTTAGGGGATTGAAGGCTTCCGGTGTTTTGTTTAATGGCACTGTCTGATCTGCTTTTTTCTGTTGGAGGGGCGGGGGGGGGGGGTTAGGTTTTCACGGGTTTTAAGGTTCTTTGGGTTTGGGGGCTTGAACAATTTAGGGTTTAGGGTCAACTTGGCACTAAAGCATCACAACACGAACGCCCAAGAGCCCGAACAGTCAAAGTTTGAATGCCTCTACTAGACGAAATGTGTCAGGCCCTTTCATGTCGTCCCTAAGCCATAAACACCTGCATGCAATTCAAGTTGTGCCTGCCTCAGATGGCTCCGTGGCTGTTATGAGAATGCCACCTCCGGAGGTGCCGTGCTCAAAAGCATACCTCGATTGCGATTAGGCTTTCGAGGTAAACACTCGAGCAGTCTTCGAGGGGCTTTACGGTCTCTCTGGCGTGATCAAGGCTTTGGGGATGCCTGATCTTCTACATGTCAACCTTATGACCATAAAGGACGATACTCCGAAGATTCCCAGCGTATGCACATTCCAGAAATGGAGGTCTCCTTGGTCTGCCACATTGGAAAAATCAGCGGGGCCTTTCCTGGCTGCAGGAAGCAAGACTGGGAAGCCGACTGCCCAGGCCCAGCAATGGACCTTGCCAAACTTCCATTTCTGAATATCATCATCACGATCAGCGCTAATTTTCAGTGCCATCACCATCAGTACCACTGCTGCCGCCACCACAGCCATCGTCCTCATGGCCATCATCATCATCATCATCATCATCGCCATCGACATCGTCGACTTCATCTTCGCTTCATCTGTAAAGAGATAGACGGAGCGAAACGTAGATAGACGAAAAAGATCATGGGCGAAGAGAGAGAGAGAGAGAGAGAGAGACAGATACATAGATAGACGGGAGATAGATAGATAGATAGATACAACCAGATACAAAGAAGAAAAGCTAAATGGTTCATTGGATATATGATATACAGGTAAAAAATGACCACACAGACAGGTAAACAGATAGAACGAACGGTAGATCGACAGATACACCCAAGTCTTTTCTCACACACGCAAGACTCATCACGACAAACAGCGATGGCATAGCAATACCGCAGCAGTTGAAACAAAAAACAGTTCAGTGACTATGTTCCCCTGGAAACAGCAGTAACTGTCCTCTTGGCAAGACGAGTGGCGCGCACACACACCTCCTTTGCTGCTGCTACAGCAACAGCAACTGGAACAGCTACAGCAACAAGAGCAGCAACAGCAGCAACAACAACAACAACAGCGGCAACAAGACCAACAGCAACAGCAACGAGAGCAGCAAAAGCAACAACAACAAATGACAGCAACAACAGCAACAGCACCAGCAGCAACAACAGCAGCAACAGCCCCAGCAGCAACAGCAAAAGCAGCAGCAGCAGTATCAATAGCAGCAGCCGCAACAGCAATAGCAGCAACAGCAACAGCTCCGCCACCAACAACAGCAGCAGCAGCAGCAGCAGCAGCAGCAGCAGCGGCAACAGCAACAGCAACAACACCAGCAGCACCAGCCGCACCACCAACTGCACCACCACCACCAGCACCACCACCACCATCCCCACCAGCAACACCAGCACCAACGATAACAACAACAGTTGCAGTTACGACCACACCTGCAACTACAACCACAAATGGATCAGTGCCAAACGAAAAACCATTAATTATGCATCATCACACTGCAACACGACGTTGATGTTGACGACGGAAACGAACATAGCAAGATCAATAGCAACAAGTTGAATTTGCAATTGGCTGAAACTTGAATGTAGCTACCGCTAGAGTTATGCCGGCAACAGCAATAACAAAGGCGTGATGACCTAGCCACCCTGCAAATCAGTGCCATGATGGTAGCACGACCATCCGTTCCAACCATCCTACCACAATTAACTTCACCTTCAGTCCAAAAGCCTCTCCTCCCTGCAGTGTCCGAAAAACCAGAGTCGTCATCTCTGCAGCCACAGTGCGATGCATACCTCACGAAAATGCCCACATGATTCGGGGGCAAGGGCAAGGGAAAGCAATCATTGTGGGCATCCTGGTTCACGACCTCTGCTAACCGCTTGCTTGAACTGCAGACTGTGCTCGGCGAACAGTTTTGCACCCAAACATGGCGAAGTGGTTGTTTCAATTGGCGCAGCTCAACTTAGTGCTCCAGCGTTATATACTGCGAGACACGCAGAGCAGCGACTGGCGTAGTATTGCAGGGCTTCGCTGGGTTTCTATGCTTGGGTTTAAATCTTTGGCACTCTATGGAACAGTCTTCCTCCTTATTCCGACAACACAACAAAGAGGCATCGGGTTGAGAATTCAACAGGGTCGTAGAGTGCCTCTCGTAGATTCTACGTAGATCCTTTAGTTGGTAGGCCATCGATCTTTACCCCCACCCCCACTGAGACTTATGGTCTTCAGGACTGCGTGTGTAATTGCAATCGGTTGGGATTGGAAGGAGGTGCATGTGCTTGAGGTGCCCACGCACTGCTCTCTGAACCCTTTTTTTGAGCAGGGACTGCAATGCGCCCGAAACCCCTAACCGCCCTTAAACCTGAATATCTGAACCACAAAGACCTTACTCACTGAATTCGAAATTCCCACACTGACCCGGTGATCTCCGGCTGCTTTTTGCAAAAAAACAGGTTAACGGGCACCTTAATAGAAGCAAATCTAACCTTGCAGCTGGATTTGTGGAATGTTTAAAAGTCAACCCTCGCACAACCAGTTCTCGCGAACCAAAGGGCAGATTCATGGCAGTTCAGCCTACGACCTCAAAGCAACCCCAAGCCCTGATTTTTGGGTTTTGGGGCCTGGGCATTCAGAATAGGGTTTCGGATGTTTTATACAGTAAGGAACCCAAAGGACTAGTCTTAGTGATCATTCAGGCTGCTGTATTGCACGCCCAAAAGCCGAAACACGTCTAAACCCCAAACCCTGCACCCCAGATGGCCCCCTGATCTCCCAAAGGCGATATACCAAGCTTAGAGTGAGCGTTTCCTACTCCGACCTGGGAGGACCCCAATAAGGCTAGCCATGAACGCGAATCAAAAGCATTAAGCGTAAAACCCACATGAAAGAAATTGAAACCCAACACCTAAACCCGAAATCCTTGCCCTTTGCACCTCCATGCACCGAAAGCCCAAATCTTGGCAACAAAAAACCTAAGCTTTAAACCCGAAAGCCCGAATTGTGGCAAAATGCGTGTTGAGGCCCGAGATCAGCGACTCCCCGTCCGGGCCCACCTGGCATGCGGACACAGCCAATTCATGTTGTGGGAGATAGATAGATCTATATATACAGAGTGTAATACATACATACATATATATATATATACAGCGAATGAATAAATAGATATGTGTATATATATATATATATATATATACACATAGATTGTGATAGGACTACTGTAGATGAAGATATTCTCCTGTCGCCTTTGGCGATTGTTCGCAGTAGCAAACCCACAGTGACGGGGATAACGGGAACCCGAATGTAGGGGCCTTACTAATTAGAGTAGGGTTTGGGGGTATATATTCTACGATAAAATAAAAACGCTCCAACCCTATTCTAATTACTAAGGCCCCGACATCATAGAGTCCGACTGTAGAATTGTAGACCCCTTTGAGGAATCCATTCTAATTTTTTGACGCTCGCTGTCGGACAAGCCTGGCTGTTGTAGGTACGACGAGCAAGCGGGTGAACCTACTCTAAGTATTAAGGCCTCTATATTTTGGCAACCTTATAGATCCCTTATAGTAGGCCTTATAGACCTCTTTAAAGGAACCTTATTCTAAGAATTAAGGCGCCTACAAAAAAGTCCCTGGCCTGGTCGTCAGGATCCAGGGAGCTGCCCAGGAGTTTGGAAGCCCAAGCGGGATCCAAGGCCAGAGGCTGATCCTGAGAGCTTTCACAGGCCGGCCCCTGTTAGTACTGTGATGAACCACTATGAACTTGTACTATGACCTGTTTAGTATCATAAATACTTTGTATGTTGAATACTATGATTAGTACTATGATCTGTTTAAGATATTGTAAGTACTGTGAGTGTGCTCATGGGCCGGCCACTGTTAGTTAGCATCATGTTTGCTGATTGTTAATATTGTTTGAATAGGTTAAGGCGCTCAAGCGTTCACACTGGCCCCAAACCTGGGTTCAAACAGGTGGCAAGGGTTGGGGTCAAAGTTCGGGTCGGAATACAGGAGAAATTGGTGTGCAATAGTTGGACACAGGGTCCTAAAACAAACAAACCCCAAAAAACAAAAAGACAAGGATGCTAGTTGGACACGCTGGTTCTTAAAACAAAACCAAAATAAACTCAAACACACGGATGCTAGTTGGACACGCTGAATCTTAAAACAAACCAAGAAAGCCCAAACACGAAGGTGCTAGTTGGACCCGCAGGTTCACAAAAACACTAGGTCGTAAAATAAACCTTCAAAGCCCAAACACAAGGGTGCTAGCTGTCAACAAACCGACATACAAGGGTGCTAGTTGGACACGCTGCTCCCTAAAACAAGCCCAAACACAGGGGTGCTAATTGGACACGCTGGTTCCGAAAACCCCAAACAACCCAAAACCCTAAACCCCTAAACCCCAAAACCCTAAACCCCAAAAGCCCAAACCCCAAAACCCTAAACCCCAACACCGTAAACCCTATACGTTTCCAGCATCCTTCCCTGAGCAGCTAACAGGCTCCAGAAGGAAGAGGCCGCCAAAGAGCCGGGCCTGGCACTATGGCACTCTTCCAGGGTTTTAGGGCTTTAAGGCTTTTGGGGTTTAAGGTTTTAGGGTGTAGGGTTTTAAGTCTTAAGGTTTTTTGGTGTTAGGGTTTTAGGGCTCTAGGGCTTTAGGGTTTTAGGTCTCCAGTTTCAGGCTTACCTGAACCCTAGAGAAACCTGCCTTCTCAGGATTCCTTCTTATGGCTTCCTTCATGCAGAGTCTACAGAGTCCAATACGAGCTATGTTGCTGGAAGATTATAATCAACCAGACCTTGAAAAGGTAGGTTATCTGGGGTTGAGGTGGGGTTGGGGGTAGGGCTTAGGGCTTTAGGATTCTTGGCTTAGGGTGTCAGCGAGAAGGGGCCTGGACGTGCAGAATCGGGTTTTGGGAAAGAGCGAAGAATAATTGTATACAGGCTAAGAGGCAGAGCTACATTAATTAGTGTGGCACTCGAGGGTATGTGGGGAGTGGGATTCAAGTTTTTTGGGGGGTATTGGACCGCAAGGCAACCTGGGTCCGGCGTTTGAGGGCTGCAAAGGCTAGGGACTACTTAGAGGTGGAGTGCCCTAGCCCAAAAAAAGGTAAACCTTTTCAATTGTGGTAGGATGTTTCGAGCCCCAAAAGGTTATATAAAGGTTAGCTACTCGGCTACTAAGATTAAGGTTTTAGGGCTTGGGGCTTACCGACACGAAGCCCTGAGGGTTTTTCGTGCTCGAGGTTTTCGGAGGTCTTAGGGGGCCCAGGACCCCCCAAAGCGTCCCTCTAATGGACCCCTTGTGGCCCTCAACTGTGGGTATTTGGGATATATTGCAGGGTAGTTGTGGGTCTAGGGCAGGAAATTCAATTAATTAACATCTCGAAAGCCAGGCATGCAGGGTTTGGGGCTAGGATTGAAGGAACCGACTCCCACACTCACACTCGCAGGCACGGCTTCAAGGATTGAAGGTTTGAGGCATCAGGGCCTAGTTGCTTACAGTGTCGGGTGCTTGAAACATGAGATCCAGGATTGTGTCATGCTTGAAGGCAAGGCGTTTGGGCTTCCTTTCGGGCACATGGCTTAGGGCATGAAGGCCAAGAGGGTTTAGGAGGGTTTAAGGATGTTTAAGGGCTTTTGGTATGGTGGCTTTAAGATTAGAGTGCTGGAAAGCTGGAGGGCTGCGGGTTTAGAGTCCAATGCGGCAGTGGGTTCGGGAAAGCAGCTTTGAGAAGCCTCTGTAAATGATTAACAGGCGGAGTGCTGTATGGAGCTAAGACGACAACAACAGAAAGCACTCTCGCCAGAGCTGCTGTCCATGTAAGCGGCCTGCGTAACCTACTAAACCACGGCTGATGCTGTTTTTGTCTTCCGCTCTCTTGCTGCCAATGCAGGCGCGACTGTACTAGTTGGCGCATGGGCAGGCCCTACGACTAAGTTGAAAAGACTTCCACCGACTTGCAGATGAGATCGGGCAGCGTGAACTTGTCATGATGCCCTTCTCCTCTCAAGAGGTCGGCGTCCGAACTGATCAGGATAAGTTTCTAACTGGTCCACGAACTCAGCACGCAAAGCTGACAGAGACCGACGATCGCGCCGTGCATCGTGCCAGTGATGAGTGTCAGAGTCAGACTCCTCAGATTTCACAACCTTTGCATGAAAAGCCTCGCGAGATTTCGATCGCTCGCGAGACTTCGAGCGCCGCCTTTTGCGTCGACGCCTTGGAGCGGCGAAGGGTCTGGGGATCACCTCGAGAGAAGGGTCCCAATTCTCACAGCGCTCCTCTCCACCATAAGGGGGCGAGTTAGGCTGGATGATAATGCCGGTGATCGCCACAGCTTCGCTGCTAACTACCACGGCCTTGCTTGCGGCTTTGCCACGGAGTGGCATTACTTTTGAAGGATCGTAGCGAACCTCGATTATCACCCGATGGAACATGCCATCACCGGCGAACACCTGGTGGGGCCTGGCAAACCAAATCGATCCACTCAGGCTCGGGGCCAAGTAGACGCCCGGGCTCGAAAATGCGTGGCCCCTTTCCTCGCTGCTGGACTCCAGTAGCACTCCGTGATGCAAGATGCTGCGGAGTGCATAGAACCAGGTTCCATGAAATCCTTACTGCAGGAGACGTGCAAAATAGCCCTCACCACCTTAACGCCTACAACATACTCGCTTTAAGGTTTTCTAGGGTCTCGGTAAACCGACTGGAGCCCAAGTATGGCCAAACAACTGAGCCTCCAGCCCTGAACCCTAACAGCTCCCGGCTCTAGACCCTAAACCCCTAAACCCCTAAGCCCTAAACCCTAAACCCCTGAACCCAAAACCGGCCGGCCGATTAGTGAGACGAGTCTCCTCTGCTCCACTCTTCCCCAGGCTCTGCGTGCGCGTTCTCCACGGTGCAGGGCGGAAGGTAGCGATAGTACATGAAAGGATAGGACGGGTCGCCCTGCGGAGGGAAGGGTTTGCAACATACTCCATGCCACTGGTTAATGTAGGGGCCGTAAAAAAATAGTGTTTTGGGGCCCATTGTACTATAATCATAATAAGGAACCCCACAATAACTGGTGGTAGCTATTTACAGGCCCCTCGAGTCTATAGTATGTTTCGTTTCTAATGCCACAGATCGCTTAGAACTTCTGGTCGGCCCTTCAGTTGGTACTACAGTGACAATTAAAAATGATTCGTAAGGAACACCCCTATAAACACCCTATAACTACACCCTAAGCCCTATACAGTCTAGACACTACACCCTAAACCGTAAATGCGCATATGCTCAAATACCCTAAACCCCAACGAACCTAAACCTCCAACTCTAAACCCTAAATGCCCTACGCCGTAAAAGCACCCCGCCCCTCATACCCTACACCCTAAACCCTAAACCGCTAAACCCGTGCACCCTAGGCTGTAGGTCCTCGGAGGAAGGCGGATCGCGGCTCGCATCTCTCCTGGGCTCTTGCTGAGGTTAAGTTACCTTAAGAAGGACACCATACCGTGAGTTACGATGGATCTCTATGATGGCAACTCTAAACCCCCAAAAAGAACCCTCATAGATCCCTGTGATGGTAACTTCAAAAATGTATGAAGAAGAACCCAGTCTCAGCAGAGTCTGGTGGAGCTCACGGTCCAGGAGCCAGCGTTGGAAATTTAACTGGAAGGCTTCCTGAGAAACTTAGGGGGTGTTTCGGGGTTTAGGGTTGAGGGGTTTGGTTTGATCTTTAGGGTTCATAAGGAGAGAACAGCTTCATAAGGATCTATAGAAAGGGCTTGCGGGGGGTGCAAGGTCATTTAAACCGACGTGCAAACGGGTTTATCCCAGCCTTTCACTTTGGTGCGCGAGCCAAACCGCCGAGCCCTTGCTTGAAGGAGCTATGATATAGGGGCCTGAATAATTTGAATATTGTTTCGGGGTACATTGTGCTATAACTGTAATCAGGAAACCCCAAAATAGTTTAGGTAATTATTTAGCTCATATATTACGTCGACTAACGCTCAACTTAAAACTTGAGCCCGAATCAAACGCCCAATTGCTATCGGACTTAAGCCTAGCCAGACCACGACCGCAATCACAAACCCTGAACCAAGCTTCCATGGTAACATCATCAGGAAACCTTTGGCGAGATATGGCTTTCTTCCTTGGCTGCCAGGCAATATGCTCCCGAGCGCACAAGGAATCCTTTCTGTTCTAACCCTAAACTCCTCCACTCCTTGTGTGTCGGTCCTGGTACTCGTGTTCGTGCTGCTACTGCTACTACCACTACTACTACTACTGCTGCTGCTGCTACTACTACTACTACCACCATTAACCCCGAGTATTAGCCTGGCTACTGTTGTCCCTGTAAGCAATGGCAATGATTCTGATGAGGGTGTGGGTGACGATAACGATGATGGTGATGATGATGGCGAGGGTGCTGATGCTGATGCTGGCGGTGATGGCTGTGTTAGCCTTCGTTTGAGCCTAGCACCTCTTTCAACCAAATGACATAAGGGCCTTAATGCGTAGAATAGGGGCGTTGCCGCATAATCTCGTTTGACTATATGTAAGGGCTGTGAAAGGCCTAGTTGTTCACACCCTGTGCAGAGCGCCGCATGTGTTCCCCGAGCTCTACATCAAACAAGAAAACCCAAAACGACTCCCACACATGTTGTATAAATGCCACATGGAAAACAAGCTTGTCCATGCTTATATGTCTACCGTCTACTAATACGTCACCCGAAGCCTCCTAAAAAGCAGGTCAAAGCATCTTTCGGCCGGAGGATTGATTCTTCCAGTGCTGCACCATATCGGCCTGGTTGTACTCTGCTAGCCTGAGGACGGACCTGTGCGGCTTTGGCATTGAGCATTTGAGGCTAAGGGTTGGTGGGGGACAGCAGCGGCTTTGACAAGATGGTCGTGATGATCGTGTGCAGATGAAAGTCCAGGTCTTGCTGTTGCCGCTGTCGCTGCTGTCTCTGCTTGTGCTGAAGAACTTGTTGGTGGTGGCCGCAAGGAAACGCTGCGGGCAGTCAGCAAGATCCATCGCCATCGCCGTCGTCGTGGTCATTGTGTTGGCACTAGCGGGGGGGGTGGGTGGTCGTGGCGGTCGTCGTGGTAGACGCCCATCTCATGTTGCGGTAGTAGTCGTACAGCATATACAGGCTGAACACGGGCTGAAGCAAAAAACTCGGGATACTAGTCCGAAACACCATGTCGGAGGGCCCCCTAGATCCTGCTGTGGTCGTCGTCATTGCTTCATTTGCGCGGAATTGATGTTTCGGTGTGCTGTGCTTAATGCGCGGGCTGCCCTGCTAGGCTAGGAAGAATTGTCGCTGAGCAACACCTGGCGATCACAATGCAAGTGCGAGAGTGGGCACTGCGCACACCCAAGGGCTCGAGCCACTTTGAAGTCTGTGTGCTGGACTCCAAGACGCATCACCTGCCCTTCCATAGGGGAGGACTGGGACTAGAGTCCCAAAGTGAGGAAGAGCAGTAGCAGTCGCAGTCGTAGTGGCAGCCGCAGCCGCAGCGGCAGTGGCAGCGGTAGCAGCAGCGGTAGTTGTCGTAGTAGTAGCAGTTGTAGCAGTGGTCGTTAATGTTGTCCTCGTCGTAGTAGCGGCAGCTTGTAGGAGTGAATGTCGTGAGCGTTGTTGCCGCTGCTGTCGTTGATGCCGGTTGATTTTGTCATTTTCTTGTACTTTTAGCATGTGCGCTGGACATGACAAGACAATGAAACAATAGATGAGGCCAAGGTACTCGAGGCATCTTGTTCGCGGCTCTCGTGGCGTCCAGGAATCGGCTGCCTTCTCTCTGCCGCCGCTTTCGCGTCTACTTCTTCGAGGTGCCGGTGGTGCAGGAGGAAATCGGAACGGACGCCGCAGCTCCCTAGGATCCATGGATATCTACGGCTCCCAAGATATTTAGCGGTAAGTCTCGCGGACACCGGCTACACTTCCGGACGAGGGATGAACCAGGCTAAATCCAATGAGAGCCTTGAGAACAACTCGGGACTCCAATTTAATCAATAATCGGACCCTTGTTTCTCGAGACCCCTGCTGGAGCACGATTAGTTGTGACAGACCAAACATTACCTGCGCATCAGACCTTTCCCATAACATCTCCCGAAAGCCCGACATAACTTCACCTTCTAAGTCTAGCCTAACTATAACTCCCTTCGAACCAGCATGACAAACTTGTAGTTCTACCAAGCTGACGAAACAATAAGAAAGTTAGACGCAAACTGTCTGGGGAGCTGGTCGAAGACGTAGACCAGGGGGTGGTTCCCAGCAACTTCCGTCACGGAATCCAAGAAGTTACGCCTCCAGCAGGCTGGCTGGTATATGGCTTTTTGTTAAGGGCTTAGGGTTGAGAGTCAAGGGTTCTGGTTACGGCTTATGGCTTTTCCCGTTCATGGTAACCTGTCTCAACAAAGAGGAAAGATTGGGAGGGGTTTTGGGTGTAGGGCTGAAGTTCTACATGCTTTTTATGGTTCTACCGTTCGGAGCTTCTGCAGGAAGAACCCATACACAGTCTTGGGTGCGGGGCCCAGTACTCCACTATTCAGGCCCCGCTTCTCCTTGATTCATCTGCTTGGGGTTGGCAGTTCGTGGCCCAGTACTCCATAGCCCCACAATTCCTAACAAACTGAAGATACGAAGGGTCCAAGGCGCATGTCCACGGGGTCCCGGCCCACCGGGCCATCGGAATCGAAACATCTGCGCTCGGCAGGATCTCGCAGTAAGCATCTGGTTTTTCGTGATGCAACACTGGTTGTGATGGGCTATACTTCTTCCGATCGCTACAACTGATATTGTAATGCTGGATTTTGTGATGAAAGCACGCCCCTCTGCAATAGATAACGTAATCTGAGCAACGCCGGTAAACGCTCCTGTAGTAAGTTCTGCGAAGTTGGAACTTTGCCTGGGGATGACGGCTGTTTGATATCTCTACTGTGGTCTGCGGAAACAAAGCATAATTCATACTGCAGCTGTCATGCTTACCGTTTTCTTGACTCTGGCAGCTAGAACCAAAATACACCAGCAGAGGCCGTCACCGACATGCAGGGTCAGGATGCAAACGCTTGCAAAAACTGCGGCGAACCCAAAACACACTAAGCCCATGCAAGTCGAGCTTGGCTTCTGCACTGTGTGCTTCCATCTTGTACATCTTGGGAAGTGATGTCTACTCCAGGGGCCTTCATAATTAGTAG